ATGATCTGTTGGTCCCTTCTGACCATAAACCCTATGACCTCTCCATCCGCCCCCAGTATCACTCAGCATTTGTTGAGAATGGAAAAGTGGCCTGTCTCTTTCTGCTTCCCAGGCTCCAAGTCTGGGCTTCTTTACAGACCACTTCCACACCACCTGGAGACTTGGGTTCTTCATGGCTGAGTGTATGGAGATGTGGCCATACTCCTTCTACCACCTGCACTGCAGGGTGGACTCCTGGAACACATGGTCTTCAAGCTGGTTGCTTTCATGCAGCTAGTAGCATGTTGCTGCTTGTGCTTCAGGGATGAGTTTTTGGAGCATATTTTTCACCCTGGACGCCGCTATGAGGAAAAGACTGTCCTCCCTATGGAGCCCATTCTCTGAGCACAGGCTCATCTTGGTTGGCCCCAAGCAGAGGTGATTGATCTGCTGCTGCTGCCCTTACTCCAGGAATGGGATCAGCAAACACAGGGACTTCCCTGGCTTTTGCTCATAGCAATTCCCTTCTGCTGCCTTTCCTCTGGGGATGGTCTGCTGGAGTACAGATGTGCTTGATGGCCTCCCCGGATGGACTCTCAGAGCACAGACTTGTCGATGCCTTGACAGTATCCTGGCTCAGCGATGAGCTGGGGTATCATCCAAAGATTGTGTAGGGTTGCAGAATGGCATTAATTGCTGCCTATGTGGTACCTCGTCCTGCTCCTAGTCCGGCATGGAGCCTGCTGCCACGCCTTCCTCCGAGGCCTCCCCTATGACTGGCAACTGTTTTATGTCCACCAGAGAGGTCTCCTCTTAGCTGCTGATCTTCTACTGGGACATCCTCAGGACCTCACTGAAACCCTGCTGCAAATCCACGTTTTCCTGTGCTGGGGGAGACTCCTCAATGCTCAGGAGGTTGGTCCCAGCTGGTATTGCTGCCTGACCAAGGTGAGGAGGTCATGCCTAGTGGCTGGTACAGGAGTCAAGCCTACTGGTCAGAGCAGGAATCAGGCCCAATGGTACAACAGGAGTCAGCAGCCAGGAATCAGAGCCCAGGGTCAGAATTAGAGTCAGAGGGCAGATGCCAGAGCTGAAGTCAGGAATCAGAGCTGAGGGTCAGAGCCGGGTTACCTGGCGTCAGGTATGAGGCAGGGGCAAGGCTGGAACAAGGTAGGAGTGGGAGTTATTGCAGCTGTGGGCGAATGGTTTGAACAGCCGCTGAGCTGCTGCTGCTGGATTTAAGAGCCGGTCTGTTGACTCTTACCACCAGTCAGGTGGTGTAGCTGATCAGGCAGCTTACTACAGGCCAGCTGTGTTTGTTGGGTTGCCCAGAGACTGACTCTGCTGCAGACCATAATTCCTGACAGGTGTCTCTGGATGACCTCGTAGACTGTGGCTGGTGTGACTGCCCACCTCTTGTCTCCCCTGCCTTGTGCTCCAGGAGGTGAAGGACACCCTGTCTCCTCCCTCTCTTGAATATCTCCTCTGAGGAGGAAACTCAAGAAGGAGGTTTTCTACTATGGTGGAGCCATTGTCTGTTCCCGGGTCATTCCATGTCTCCAGGCAGAGGTCCTCCGGACAGTGTCCATGGATTCTTTGGGCTCCTTAGCAGAGCAGTGACCGTTGTCCAGGGTTCTCTGCTCAGTGTCCCCATCACATTCCCTTGTTTCACACCTTGGATCCCATTTCTGTTTTATCACTGGTTGACCCCTTGTTTAGCTGATTCATCACTCTGTGGGCCTCCCGCATTTGAAGGAGTGGGTCTTTTTTTGTGGTGGACCCCATCCACCCTTCCAAGATTTCAGATAGGCTGGTGAAAGCATTACGGCACAGGTCCTGCGTCCCTGAAGTCAACAGGAGCTCTGCATCAGTGCCCTCATTCAGCAGAGCACTTGAGTATGAGCTAAATTTAAGCATTGAGTAATCCCATCCCGATTCAGCAAAACACTTCAGCGCATGCTTAACCTTAATTGTCTGAACTGACTTCAGTGCGACATAAGCACCCTGCTTCAGTGCTTTGTGGAATAGGGATGGGATTACTAAAGTGCATAAAATTAAGCACTTGTTTAAGTGCTTTGCTGAGTGGAAGTTCAAGGCCCAAGAGTTGAGATGCAGATCACCTCCAGAAGGATGCTGAATGGGAGCAAAGGCAGCTCAGTGGCTCACAGGATTGGGCCCTAAAAGAGGAAGAAAAGAAAATGCCCTAAAATGCACATTGAAATGATTTGTCATTGAGTATATTTGTGGAAAAATTCAATGTTGTCAGTAATTTTCATCCTGACTCAACAGCTCACAATTGTTACCCCGCATTACTCAAATTGTTTATCTATGGGGCAGTATTTTGCTAGAGAAGAGAATGGAATTGCATTGCAGTCACATAGAGCAGCTAGTTAATTAGACCACAGATGTCCAGTCAGTTTGAAGTCACCAAAGATAATAGGGGTAACAGTTGGGCAGAAGCAGCAAAGCCATGCGCATTTTCACACTGGTAAAGTGGTACCTTTTTTATTTTAAGACTGTGATAGAAAAACTACAGTCAGCATCAGTAAAGAAAGTGTGCCCGACCTGGCATTTTATTTCTAGATAGCTTAGGAGATGAAAGCATTCACCTGTGACTGGTTTATTACTGTCCCCAGCCACCCCAAAATGAAACATCACATACAGCAGTTTCTTCTTTATTGCTTTACTATTGCACTCACTTGTGTGTTGTGAAATGCTGGAACTAACGTCAGTGGCAAGGGCTGGGTTTTCTTTGCCATGCAGCTACAAAGCCAGCCTATAAAGTTTATTGACTCGGGAAACTTAAAGACACTTTAACGGAGCTCTCCCCAGTCCCCACAAATACTGTGTATTGCCGCAGAGAAGGAACAGTTTTCATGGATGTGTTGGTCATAAAGTCCTAAATGACCTGGGTCCTGCCTGCCTTAGAGACCAACTCTCTTCCCATGACATACTGCCACAGTAGCCAGCAGGGGTGCTGTAGCTAGATCTCCCTTGTTATCAAAGAGACCAGGGCTGCCATAAAGGGGTTCTCTGTGACAACTCTAGGCTCTAGAACATGCTACCCGCTGCATCCAAAATAGCCCACATTTGACCTTCCAGGAATGCTGTTAAATTCTTTGACCCAGGCTTTTGAGGAAGGATGAGGGTAAGTTCCTGCGAAGGATGGGGGCTAAAGGGCTTCTCCATTTTGATTAATCGGCTGTCTGAGGTAAATTGGCTTATTGACTGCTGCTTGCTAGTGGGGTTTGTTTACCTGTATAATAGTATTTATTTCCACTGCGTGCTTATGGTTGGTGTTATAAGTTTAATTATCGTTAGGATGCTCAGAGCTTCTCTATGGACTTTTATTAAATCTACAGTAAATTAGATAAATAAATGCATATGCATCCTCCACTAAAATTAAGCTTCTACAACTGAGTCTGACTTGATGTGCTTCCACTTTACTAGAAAACATTTTGAACTCTTTAATTTTCTTAAAGTAAAAAAGACATCAGGAGGTAAATTTTCTAAGAACCAAGCACGGAGTTATCTGACAAATGCACTCAGCATTAATAGGATTTATGTGGATAACTCCTTCCATGCTACAGTGGGAAATCCAGCCCGGAAAGCATATTTCCTTTCAAATGCCACTCTAATCCTATTTTCAGCCTTTATTTTATTAACTCCATATTATTTATTGTGCTGCATCCCTGCTGGAGTAGAATCTATATGATATCTACATTTGACCATACTGTAAGGGTGTCTTTACCCCCAGTCTTGTTTTTATTTCCTTTTCTCTGAGGAAATCACTTCAGTTTTATTAGCTCTCTGCTGATCAGTACTGGTGTTATTGCATTGCAGTAGCATCCATTGTCCCCAAGCAGGGTCTGAGCCTTTGTACTATAGACTGATACAAACACACTGTAAGAGACAGGATGTGTGTTCTAAAGGCCCGCACATACACAGTGCAATGTCACTGCACACCTGCAACATCTCCACACAGACATCACAGCACTGACCAGGCCCACTGTGACGCTGTGTCTTTTTCATGCAGTAGAGATACAGTGCTCCGCAAACCATCCTAGACTGATGAATGGCACCTTCCTTCCAAAGCTTACAGATTTTATAGAGAATGATTAGCTTGTGATTTACATCTCTTTGATTTATATGATAGAAAATTATGGGATTGGATAGTTCAGGGGCCTGAAGGCTTTTACCTCGGCCATTTCAAAACCAGCCCAAGTGGTCCACAGTGGCTGAAAGGTCTTACTAGTGTTTAGTGTATCATTTGCAGTGAATCATTTATTCAGTGAATTCAGCCTCTTTTTCAGCTCACGGAATACCCTCAAGCTGATAGCAAGCTGCTATTTGAAGATTTTGGGAGTATGTTTTTACTCCAGTAATTGGTGAGAAACAGTTCCCCGTGAGTTTTCAGATACCTGAAACCTGTAATATAAAAGATGAGCTGCTTAGTTGTGACTGGCCACATACATCACATGATATTACTTCTGTTCCCTGGCTGGGTGAGATTCAGGGCCTATAATAAGGACTGAAGAAGCCATGATGGTTTTGAATCTCTCAGGGAAAGGCAGCAGTTTAGGGAGACAGAACTGATAAGCCAGATTGGGGAATTTTAGCAATTTTTAAACCTTTCTCTGTCTGGATTCCTTTTCCCGCTGGCCCCTAAGGAATTCCCCAACACACAAGCCAGCTGCATAGGATGTTCACTGAGGCCAGGATTTATCCAATAGCATAAGTGCCCTAAAGATAAGAGGCCACACGGTGTGGATTAGCCAGGTAACATGCGAATACTGTGGGCAGGTATCAGGGCCAGTGCAAATGGCACCATGCTCCCCACTCAGCACTCTCAGCCTGATCACGGCTGCTCAGAAACAACCTGGGCTAGGGCACCATGGTACCCTACTGTGTCCTGAGGGCAAGGACAGGCGGTGACATGCTCCCCTTTTAGATGGATCCCAGGCAAAGAAGAGACATGCAGGGGTGGGGAAAAGGTGTAAATATTGTCCTACCTCCTCTGTGCTGCACCGGCCAGCAGAGTTGGCTGGATGTAGAAGGACAGCACATGCCGCATCCCCTTAAAAGGAGGAGCAGCAGCTGGACTCCTTGTGCCTTCCCAGTGTGTTGCTTCTCCATCCTGCCTCCAGCTCAGGACAGCGTCTTGATGGCACAACAGAGCCCTTTGTCTGGGGGAGGAAGAACGGGACAATGGGAGAGTGAGCTAGTGACTAATAAGACCAAGCTGCTCCAGGTTTTTGATGTCATCTGATAATTCTCCTCTTGTTATTGGACTAAATCTTTCTATTGGCATGTAGCCTTCAAGTGCTGCCTGCTGGCAAGCGCCCAGGCCCCACGTCCAGGCCTGTTTCCAGAACATTGATTGGAAATCATTAGAGAGACAAAAGAGTGGCTGATGGACATTGATGAGAGGGGAAGAGAAAATTATCTCATGTCTGGCCTGGGAAGAATTATAACTGAGTTTGCTTCTGAAGAATAAGAAAACGGGTTTGCAAAAGGAAAGAGATAGTTATGTGTTGAATATAGCTGAGGTAATGCCAAATGCTAACTGAGACTTAACTGCCACGGCCTGTCTCTACAGGAGTATATCTACAACATCTCTATTTACAGTGGGGCATCAATTCTTTGATACATGCCACCAGAATAGCTGCCAGGCACAAACAGATCACATTAGATTGGGCAAACAGACGACTTTTCTTCTCTGCTATATTAAGCAGAGGTGAGCGGGACACTGGGTTTTCCAGTTTGTGAGAAATGCTGTGATTCTGAAAAACCGTTCATTCTGAAATGGAACAAAACTAAAAAAAAAAAAAAAATTGAAATGTCCCACAAAGTCAAATTCTGAATATTGGTTTATTTGGGGGTCACTCAAAATGTTTTGTTTTGATCAAATTAAAACATTTTGTTTCAATTTCACCCTTTAAAAATGTTTTTACATAAAGGAAAACCAATGAGTTTCATTTCAAAAAACTCAAAACTTCATTCAGAAAATGTCAAAATAGGATATTTCAATATTCCTGAAATGCTTTGAGTCATTTTTTTCTAAACAAAATGTCGTCAATCTGCAAGTTTTTCTAAATGTATGAATTTCAGCGAAAAGCAATTTGACAAAATTTTTCCAACCTACTCTAATAAGAAACATTTCATTATTGCATAATATAAACTCTGTGCCAGCCTAGAGCCACTGTTGTACTATTTGACTAGACATGTTTGTTTCTACTTATTTTGTATTTTATTAATCTTGTCCTAGTTTCTGTAAAATTGCCGGTAAAATATAGTTTTGTTTAAGAGCACTTACACCGGGTCCCAAAATCATTTGGGACATTTATGGGCCCGTGTCTGAAAGAGAGGAACTGAACCTGGACATGAGGAGTAGGCTTGGGTATTGTAATGATGTGTTTAATTTCAGGTTTCAGAGGAACAGCCGTGTTAGTCTGTATCAGCAAAAAGAAAAGGAGTACTTGTGGCACCTTAGAGACTAACCCATTTATTTGAGCATGAGCTTTCGTGAGCTACAGCTCACGTCATCGGATGCAATTACAGTGAGTTATTCAGTAACTAGTTGTCTGTGGGCACTTTCCAAGCAAAGTGTACTCTGTTTCAAACCAAAGAGACAAAACTAGAACATGAGCTCTACGGAACTGCTTTAAGAGTGTCCACAGAAGGGTTTGCACTGCTTTAACAAAACCAGTTTACAAATCAGTGGAAACCTAGACAAGTCTTCAGATTAGATTCAGCACTAATCCCCATCAGGAGGTCTTGGGTCACTGGATAGCTCTCGAGAGCAAATGGACAGCAAAAGGGACCACGGAGGTGTGGCATTAAAGCCTTTAAGTGGCCTCTAATCTAGTGTCTCAGGTTGTGTGTGCAATTGAGGTTCACAAAATGAGTGCACACTTTTGAAAATTTGCGTGCAAATCTTTATAATGGGCTGAGCTAAAACCCTAGTTCTAATTTCTCACTCAGCCTTCCCCAGAATGCATGAGCGTTTGAAATCTAGATCAGGGTCTAAGTTTTGTGACTTGAGCCTTACATATGGTGTTTTTTGGGGGGAAGTATATCTCCTGTGAGTGATTTGGCTTTACTGTCCATACAGAAAGAAAGTCTCTCTTTTATTCTCTGTGTTTAGACAGTCAGTCTGACATTGACTATATTTATGTCTGGCACATACATTTATTGGCATGTTGACATCTCTTTTTATTTTGCCTGCAGTAGGGCTACTCCAACAGTCTGAAATCACTATAACAGAACATTTAAATACTCTAATTTATAGAAGGGGGAAGGGAGATCAAAATCACTTTTTTCCCCGAAAGTGGGACCACATCTTACAGGATTATCTGATTTCTCATCTCTACACATTTCTCGGCAGAGATTCACTCCAAGCAAATCTCAATCTATCCACTGAAAATCAATCCATTTGTAATGGGACTAGCATGATTTCATAAGCAGACTCTTCCAAGCCTGAGATTTAAAGGCATTATGCTGCCAAAGTCCTGTAATGATTAACACGTGTTGTGCTGGTCATACTCCCTCAACTACACACCAGTGAAAGCTGCTTACTGGCCTGCTAGGTTTCTCTGCAATTTAATTAAAATAATTAACGAAGCACAAAACAGCAGATAATGGGCATACATAATTGATCATTAATACATACTTACAGCCTGGCCCTGAATTCCTTGCAAACCCACTTGTGGTGTGGATGCAAAAGTGGTAAGAGTTGAGCTTTTGGCATTGTATCCAATTGACTGCATTGATCCAGATATTCCATTTATTTAGGCCCGGGACTTGGGTGTATGTTGAACTTCAAGCACACGAGTGCTCCTATTGATTGCAGTGTTTAAATGCTTGGCTGGCTCAGGGAGTTCACTATGGTGCACAGGGTGCTGGCCCCTCTGCACCATTTAGGTCCTACAATGGGCTGACTGAGGGGATGTAGACAGAGCAAGTGCAAACAAGATGCCTCTTGCACCCCATGCGGACTGCAAATGAGGACTATGCAATGGTGCTGAATAGGCTGGTGTGGAGATGGCTTTGCAGGGGGTCAGGGAAGAGCTCGCAGGAACCACCACAGCTACGTGAATCTAGTGGCCCAATCCCCCTCGTCACACATAAGGGATGCAGAGAGCAAGCCACCAGGGACACCGGGTTCAGGAGAGTGTGAATTCTGCCCCCACACTGAGTCCCCTGCACCAAGCCAGAGCACTTGGGGTTTGTGTGCGAAGAGGTGACTTACACTTAAAGGAGTTCTGCTTCACCAACGAACTGATCTAAAGTCCACTGAAGACAGTGGAAAGTCTCCCATTGACATCCATGGGCTTTGGATCAGGCCCTGAATCCTTGGGGCTGCACGTGACTTGGAAAGGTTAAACACTGTGCAGTGCAGGTGTTTACATCTGCTAAGCTAATTTAAACACAACGGTGAATATAAATCAGCTACTTCCATGTCGGATTTCTCAATCCCATCAAAAGCACTGTACTGAATCACAAATATCAGACTCCAGTTAATAAAGGTAAATAATGACAGTCAGATCTTATTATTTTATGGGGCTAGAGTTAAATATTTGACCAATAATGAAAACATGATTCCCCACCCCAATTTCTTTAATGTGTCTTTTTAAGTCTTGTTTTCTTTGTTAGAACAGAGGGACTTTATTTGGGTTCTTTTTTAAGCTGTCAGCCTCTGTGCGTTGAACCACGTTTTTACTTTATTTATTTCTGGATTACTTCAGTACTCAGAGCTGCAGCCCTGGACCTGGGCCCCATTATGTGAGGTGCTATCCAAACACAGCACAAAAAGATGGTCCCTGCTCCAGAGATCTTACCATCTAAATTATAATCAACTCAGCAACGAACATAGGTTGGCTTGGCCAAAGGTGCCTAAGGGAATTACAACCAATGGGAGTTGAGCACCTGCCTCCCTTGGGTACTTTTGAATGTCGCAGCCTTCAGGGCTCTACATAAGTTCCTCTATTTAAGATGGGCTTTATTTCCATTCACAGAAATCAAGTTTTATACAGAGGGATGTAATTATAGAAGGTGCAGGGCTGCATTGCAAATTATCTTTCATTCATTGCTGGCAGGTTAATCAGAACAACAGGAATCTGACAGAGAGAAAGGTGCAGGATGGGGGAATTATACATTGATCAGCTAGCTGCAGGCAGAAAATGGAAGATACCAGCTGGCAAGGATAGGCCCAAGTGGAAATGTCCAACTCTGACTAGTACAATTAATTACCTTTCTCTAGCTAGTTACTGGACCTGCTAGTGGCAAGATTCAGCGTAATTCATTCAGCTGAGAAAGGTCAGCAAGAAAATCAAAATGTGTATATTGAAATGTGTGACAGAGTGTTGAGAACCAGCTGCTGAACTCTCCACTGTAAATCCAGTAAGTCTCGCACCCCTCCTCTGACCAAGGGAAGGAGTGGCTAAGTACTAGATCAGCCTGAGCTGGGGAGAGCCAAAGAGCCTGTTAACTGCAAGAATAGAAGAGGCATGCAGGCGGGAAGTGCGGGGACACGGATGCAACTAGGGCCTTGGGGAGATCTCTGCCCTCTCTGATGATTGTCTGATTCTGTAAGTAGAATTGCTGCCCGGAACTGTAAGAGGGTGGTGACTGATAAAACACAAATAAAGTACACAGCAGTGGCTACAAACCAGAGGTGTCAGCACCTTTGGTGCAGTAAGTCAGGAGGAGCAGAGGGCCCAGGCCCTATTACAACATGTCATTTAGTTGCCAACTCCCTCCCCCCGCAACCGCACGGTACAGATTCCTTCCTGCTGTTAAATCAGCTGAGCCAGTGTCTGTCCTGCTTAGAGGGGCACCAGAGTATGCGCTTTACAGCACATTATATATTTTTGCTTCCTTTTCTGGCTTGAAAGGAAGGAGCTGTCATGAGTGCTCTGAAGGAAGCTGCTGTGTGCGGATGCTATACGTGATTTACTTCTTTATTAGAAAAGTGAGAGGCTTTGTGAATGCTTGTCTGCTCCACCAGCTCAGGCACTTGGAATGCATTCTGCCCCCACACACAAGTGGTCCAAACAGCTCCCTAGCATGCACAGGGCTGCTAGACCTAGAGTAGCTCTGAGTGAGTCTTGTTAATGTCAGAATGTCCACTTCTAACCACTTCAGTGCTGGGGCCACTAGAAAGCCCCAATGTTGCAGCAGCACC